AGCTGCGCCAATACACACACAATGCATGTAATATTCTTCGGCGTAAAACTGCCAACACAACCGGCCGCGCGTGACCCAGATAAATGGATTGCAGCACTGAGAGAGGATACGTCGGGGCGAAGCTTTTGTCTGTCTTTGCAGAACTCGAGAAGTCCGCTCATCAGCGTGTCTATTCACGGAGAATGGAGCATCTCGAGAACCTAGTTAGTCAAGACGGCTGCCCCTCTTCAGCATAACAGAGACAAATTAGAGTTTTTCGGTGTCGGGGAACCGGATGAGTCGCGTGGAGAATTTCGGAACCCACGATGTATACGTACAAACTCGACTTCCGCTGAGGAAAAAAGTGACATAGGGGAAAGGACTCCTAACACTTGGTAAATTTATATCAAGTATTGAAATAAATGTTACAATAAATGTTAATTTGGCATAAATTTCAGAAACTCCAAGACCAAGTGGTAGGAAGTCTTTCCCTTACATCACTTTTTCTCCTAGTGGAAGCAGCGTTTGCACGTCAGTGTACCCTCACGAGCAAACTCAGCTTCCAGTAGGAGAAAAAGTGATGTAATGGAAAGACCTCCTACCACTTGGTCTTGGAGCTTCTGAAATTTATGCCAAATTATCACTCAATTTAACATTTATTTCAGTACCTGGAATAAATTTACCAAGTGATTGTAGGCCCTTATCGTACGTCACTTTTTCTCCCAGTGGAAGCTGAGTTTGCTCGTGGTTGTACGTTCGAAAGAATTGGAACTTTTGCAACAACTTGATGGAAACTGCGTTGAAACAGATGCTTGGTTACCTTGTTAAATGTTCCAAGTAACACAAAAACCATGATAAACTTATTATTATACTGGATTTTTTATGATCAGATTTGCTACGACCGCATAAAATCCACTGTTTAATAGTATATCTGCGAAATAGAGATTTTTTGACCGGTTAAAAGATTTCAGGAGAGTAAGAAAAATGAGATGGCGCTGTAGCTGTGGTCGTTAAAGCATCGGATAGCCTATGTCGAATTATTGAAGGTCGCAAGTTCGAATCCCCCCGCTCATTTTTTTTAGATTTCTTACATATGTAAGTTACTTTTCAACAGACGAGTGAACACCCTAAATAATTCATTCATTGGTCAATATACCTCGTGTGAACCATTGTAATTCTTAAACAATTAAATTGTGCATAAAAAATGTAGCACTTCGTATGCATCAATTTAATAAACGAAAACTTGCAAGTATCATCCTTTGATTCAAATGGAATATTATTATATTAAACTTTAGGTATATGAATACTAAAAGATTTTCTCTCACTATTTATTTGTGTATGTGTTAATGCTTTCGTTATTTTAAAAGTGAAGGTCATTCTAATTTAGTGTAAAGTTTCATATGAATACGTGGTCAGATATAAAAACATGTTAAGTAATTAATTATATACTGAAAATTTCTTGTTAATCCTGCGCTATAGGATATATGTCAAATTTCTCCGAAGTAAGAGAGCAATTTTTCGAATAATAATTATTCTGCAAGAAAAATATAGTGACCGTATTATTGAATCTTTTACTCTAAATAACTTTTATGTAAAAAATGTTTCCCTTATTCCCGCAATTTCAGAGACATTCAGGGTGGTAGCTTTTAATGGTCTACCCTATATAATTCAATATTGTGTTTCAAAGATTTCAATTGAAACCGATGGTAAAACCCAGATAGCACATGACACCTTAAAGATGCCTATTTTACGGCTATTTTAAGTCTAAGGTGCCTTTAAGCCGTCTTCAAGGCGTCATGTGCTATTTGGGAAGTAAACATAAATGAAGCAGTAGACAAAGCGTTCCAATATGGATCCAATTGAACGAAATAGAAAAAATTCATGGTTCCATTATCGTGTTTGCAGAAAATGTGAAACCGAAGAAGCCGATCGACCTGCCGATTCCGAAGGGTGTGGACGATGACCTTGACGAGGACGAAGATGATCTCGATGACGAGGATGACCTCGACGCCGACGCGGATGACGAAGATGACTCCGAGGCGGATCCCGAGGACGTGCTTAGCGATCAGCCTAACGACGACGAGAGCGACGAGGAATACCTCGACGATTACGACACCACGACAAGGTATTGGATGTTAAATAAATAATTCACAGAGAACAAAACGGATGTTGAATATTTAGTAACCTAGATGTATGGCTCTTGGGTAGATTATTATAATACTAATACCAATAACCTGTTCACCTTTTTATAGTCGATTATCAACGACAATTTCAACAACGGAGAAACCGAAACAGGATGTGACAGCGATGCCATTGCCAGTTAGCACCAGCACTCAGCAATCGTCCCAGTCGCAGAGCACGCCTGATCCATACCTAACGCACTTTGACCCACGCTCCGAGCACCAGAGCTACAAGCAAGCACAAATGAGACTGGAAGAGGTGCACAAAGAGAAAGTGACAAAAGTAAGTGGGTACACTATTTGACCCATCTTCGTTTGCCGAAAATGTATCAGATATACGAATCTTTTGGACTGATCCGATACCCTACTATGTATGTATAGTATAGTACATATGTCCGTACTCGTTAAAATTGTTTTTACTGTTTTGAAGTATAGTCCGGTTTCGTATCGCTAATTCTATATGATAATACATAGCAAGAAGGGCGTGCCAAGCTACGTGTGCAATTAAAGGGAGACCGCGTAACGAGTTTCGAGACAGTTAATATCAACGCGGAACACCAGTGTCGAAATCTTTGTGCTACAACGTTTTTAGGTGATGAAGGATTGGAGTGATCTTGAGGAGAAGTATCAGGACATTCGTGCTCACGACCCGACCGCCGCCGATGCTTTCAAGAGATGGATGACTGCACGATTCCAGGAAACAGTTGCTGCTTTGGAGGAGAGTGGTGCCGCAGAGAAGCACCAGTTGAGCGCTATGCATCAGCAGAGAGTACAAGTGCGTGATTTAATAGGGTAGAGAGAGCAACTATAGTCGGATCAGAATTAACTGGACTGGCCAAAAGACCACTTGTACTCATTGTGTTGGTTAAATATTCCTGTCATATGTATATATGTATCTGCAGGCCACTGTCATTGGTCAGATTAACTTCCTCTATTTATTCTGCTCTCTGCAAAAGAACCAAGAGAAAACTAGAAAGTAGTGTAAATAATCATTTGTAATACGAGTGTCTATCAGACACAGAAAACTCGCCCACTGTTGTAGGTGTAAAAAGATATACAGGTGGAGTGGAAGGTACTTTAACCTAAAAATGTAAGGGTAGAGGAACTAACCTTGAACGAATAAAATCCTGTTCTGACTATCGTCCGTTTAAGTATAATATTTCCATAATTAAGTGCAATATCTATTATCATTCATTTTCAGGAAGCTGTTAAACAGAGGAATGAAGAAGCGATGTCGTGTTACACTGCTGCTTTGAATGAGACTCCTCCGAACGTAAGTTGGCAAAACATTTTCTGTTAAGTTCTTCATCTGTTCGTTCACAATTTGTTACAAGTTCTCTTGCTCTCCTTCCAGATGCATCGCATTCAGAAGTGTCTGCAGAAACTGCTCCGAGCTCTTCACAAGGACAGACACCATACTATAGCCCACTATAAACACCTGCTGGACAGTAGCCTCGAGCAAGCGCAACGCGAAAAACCGTCGACCTTGGAACACTTGGCGGAGATTGATAGAATCACCAATCAGAGCCTGTTGATGTTAGAACGGTAATGTTGTCAGTCACTGCAACGCAACGACGATCGCAGAGCCTGTAGATCTTTGAAATTTCGAGCAGAATAACGCTTTTGACACGTAGAACGGAATTCATGGGACATTTCATTCCTTTATATTTAGGTACCCTGATTTAAGCGCAAAAATTGGCCGGCTTATGGATGATTACGTTTTGGCCCTCAGGAGCAAAGATGAGACTCCTGGACTGCTGTTAGCGATGACACGCGAAGCGGAAGCAGCTATTTTAGACAAATATCAGGCTGACGTCACCAGCAAACAACAAGGTAGCCGAGAAATTTAATACTATTACTCGTGTATGAAAGTCAGCGAGAAACTGGTTTCATGACCGAAACGAATTAATTTTTCAGAGAAAGAGCATCAGAAGCAACTCGAACGGGCACGTAAGGAGCAACGCAAAGCGGAACGCGGCGAATTACGTACCGAGCAGGCGCAACAGGAAGAGAATGATTCGATAAACGACAACAAAGATACTCAACAACAACCAGAACAACCCTCGGCAGTAGCCGCTATGCACAGTGAGGGACTCGTTAGAGCAGCCCACAGTATGACTCACGACATTTCACACTCTGAACCGGTACGTATAATTATCCGCAATACTTTTATGAAAAGCCATACACCAACATGAATCTTCAAGCCCTTTACATTCGGAATTTATTTCGAATTATTTATTTCTTCATAGTAACGAACATCTTTAATATACTTCTAAAATCATAGCGTCCTGACGGTCTGTCTTAGCTGTTAGGTGTTAAACGAAGTTATTGGATTGATAGTACTAATATGTAGTAGAGAATTCTTTTACCCAGATAACACATGACGCCTTAAAAACGGCTTAAAGGCGCCTTAGACCTAAAATAGACATAAAATAGGCGTCTTTAAGGCGTTATGTGCTATCTGGGCCGAGTCAGCTCTAGACTTTCTCAAAATAATGCTAAGAAAATAACAATTTAAAGAACGTCATTAATATCTGATGTTCTATATTTATAGGGTTACTCAGTGAGAAGGGAAGTCTACCGCAGGGAGAGTACATCAATCTACTTCACACTAGCGTTTGCGGGTATCACCCTCATGGCTGCTGCAGTGGTCGGTGTGGCTGTATTCAAGAGGCGCAGTGCAAGAAGCCCTCACAGTCAGGTACATTTGAGTCGAAAAGTAAAAACGTATTTGTGAAATAATATTTTGTAATTTTTTTTCACGTTCGATGATTGTCATTATTAACATTGAACAACAGGGTTTCATCGAAGTCGATCAAGCGGCCACACCAGAGGAGCGACACGTCTCGAACATGCAGATCAATGGATATGAAAATCCTACATACAAATACTTCGAGGTTAAAGATTAATTTAGCTATCTGGGTCTACGGAGTTTTATTTGAAACTGGTCTTAATTGTCCGTTCTCGCGTATGTTCTTCAAGAATCTCACAGTAATTTGTTAGTGTAAGATACCTATCAGGTCCGAGGTTCTTCCGAAGATTCGAATTATATAGAGATTTACATCTTAGTGATACGTGGAATAAAATCTGTCCATAGGGTGATAGATATTGCAATACAGTATCATTGTATGTGACGTCCCTTTATATAGCCTGCAGACGTGTCACGACTATTCTTTATGCTCTATTACATGTATAAAGCAATGTTTATATAACACCATCCGGTAGATAGAAGTGATACGAGTTTCACATTTGACACTCGTATCGTTGTGTGTGTTATCTACGAGGCGATGCGAAAAAAAAGGAAGGAAACACGCCAATGTGCCATATGGGAGGAAACACGTAAATCATCTTCGGAAGTATCTCATACACGTTGTTTTCGTTTCGTTGTCATTCATGTTATTAAAGATGAAAAAAAAAACGCAGGAAGGAGCGCTCACAATAATGAAAGATGAACGAACCAAATCGTTACTCGCTAATATTATACGATAATAATACCCTTCGATCAAAAGGGGGCTGTGGACTACGATCAGTTTACAAAAAAGTTCATTATTTTCGATGTCGGAAATATTGCAAACGCGATAGAAAAGAAAAAAAGAAAACGTACGTACGGTCGTCTCGTAAGTACGTGGCGCGCGCGGCTGTTGCGCTCTTTGCTGTATTTTTTTCGGTTCTGATATTTTCGGAGATAGTCAATGGCAATAAAGGTTGCGCAGCTTGAAAAATAATACACGAAAAAAAAAAATGGAAAAACGATAGCAGCGGTAGCAGCGGCTTGCACGGCGAAAAGCAGAAAAGTATAATCTGATTAAAAAAGAAACATATTACTAGCACTACGCGAGGGAAGGTGTATGCTAAAGTAAGAAAAAAAAAAATAACGCTCTTAAAATATCAGAACGGCAACCGATGCACGTTCACCTCCGCGATGCAGCTGTTTTTTCCATCTTCGTTCGATTCCCACTGCCTGATTTTTTCAGCGACCTTTTCAGTACTTAACGTCTACTTAGATTATACAACTTTATACTTAAGAGAAATTGAGAAATCATGAACGTATCTAACGTTTAACGAGAAAGCAAGATATTTTATCATTCCATACAACAAAGTCCACTAACTTATCGAGGTGCTGTCCGAACGTATGCACGGAAAATATTCAGTAGCTTTGTTCGGCTCGGCCGAGGGCCGTTTTCACCTTTCAGAAAGCGAACGGAATCGAAAGAGTCACGCCGAAGCTACTGAATAAGAGGAACAGTTTACAGGAGTTTTTTTGTGTGGCATTAGTACCTTCGATTCTAGCTCGAATAAGTGGCAACCATTAAAGCAAGCGTTTCTCTGTTTTTGTTTTAAATGAACTAACCTTATTGGTTAACTCTCTTCTTTCCTCATCCACCCCACCCTCCAACCCCTCTACCTTCCTTGATTACTTTTTTTTTTATTATTATTTCAAAAGATGGTTCATACAATAACTATCTTAGGATATTAATTATATATGATGACGATAATATATTACACGTTTAATGCTTATATATTTGTATATGGTCAGAAGATAGTAGGCCGCACTTTAGCCAGGGTCGCGTGGGAAAGCACAGCTTTCAATTGTTTTCAATGAATAATGCACGTTTCTTTTTTCTCTTTATTATTAGACCGTGTTTTGTATCGATCGATCGGTGTATGTATAGACTCGACAGGCGTTTTCTGTACGGTGACAGTTTTAGCGCGCGCAAGTGTTTTACGTTGTTTACAATCTTAAGATGCTTTCGACCCCGTGTGTGTACGACTTCAATATTGCATAAGATTGCTCATCGTTTTGTGAAAGTTGTACTCTCTACTACCTAAGGTTTCCTTGTTTTCTTTTTTATTGAAGTGGTAATTTTGTTCTATTTTCTTTCTTTTTTGTTTTTGCTAAAATAAACTAAGCGAAATTGCGCAAACCGAGGACACATTAAATGAATCCTTGGATTCCTAAACGCACGTTGAAACAGCTGCCTCCCCCCGTTTAGCGAACGTATATTATTCATAGAACCGAAACACACATACACACACACACACACACATTAGACTGTATGTCTCACGCAACTCCGGTGGAAGGGATGTGCCGACGGAAACGCGCGCGCGCGCGCGGGCCCACACATTCGCGCATCGCTGAGTGTTAAAAATATTATTTTAGATATATTTAAAAGAAGAAAAAAAAATGATAGCAATTAACTATATGTCTATGGATACAACAAAAGCATAGCATCAATGCGTTAATAATAATAATAATAATAATAATGATGATGATATAAATATCTATAAAAAAATATATATGTTCGTGTGCGCGTGTGTGTGTGCACGCGCGTAATATATGAACAATATGCATACACATATTACATGTACATCTATCAAATTAACTATACATTATGTACCTATAGCGTATAGTCGTTAAAATGAGGGAAAAAGAAAAACATTCACACGTCGCGTATAAAAATGACTTGATACGGATTCACAGATGTTGAGAGGACATTCTTGTGTCTAAAAAGAGAAAACGCTAATTCTTCCTTTCAACCATGTCTCTTACCCATTTTTGTGCTGTCTATACTACATGTATACTTGTTATATTAAACCGAAGTAATATAAAAGATGGCACGCGTTCGCATACATAACACGATTGGCCTATACATTCCACACGAATGTAATTCGTCCGTGCGCTATATATTCGTTAAATGGAATATACATATGTAATAACGCGAATAGCACCTTGCCGCTTGCTAAATTAATCGCGCGTGCCATCTTTCAAACATACGCGCGGAATTCCTCGATTCGATGTGGGCGGGAAAAAGAAAATTCGTGTTACCGCACTGGGAACAAACATAACCCCACTCGGATGTATCCGTCGAAGTAAACACGACGGCGTGACAGGTGGCATATTGTTTACCTCGACGGGCAACCCGGTGGTAAACCAGATGGGGCTGTCCAACAGTATTAAGCTTGAAAAACGTCCTGTCGAAGCATATCAGTTTATCGTTTCTGTTCATTTTGGCGGATCTACGTTTCGCCCGGTTTACCCTTCAAGATGCTGTGAATTTGCGTCGAGCCACCCTGTATAAGTTTAAGAATTGATTTTTGTAAAGAGGTAATAAATACTTACCGAGGTAATTAACTTAGCTTAAAGAGAAGTAAAGAGAGAGAGAGAGAGAGAGAGAAACACAGAGAGAGAGAGAGACACACGTCAGAAGTGAGGAACAGGAAGGAAAGAAACAAAAAGAGAAAATAAATACGTCCTTTGCATAGCGGTTCGGGTTTAGAAGCCGGCGAATGGAAATAATAACGGAACTAAACTTTATTTTTGCAATTTTTTCGGTATTCTATGGATTCTTACGGTTCTATCTGTTAACCCGCGTCTTTTTAACAGAACGTCGATCGCGCGGTAAAACCGACGCAACTAGATACATGCGAGCGAGCCCGCAGGTTGTGTGTACGTGCAATATATCGGCATCGATTATGTGTGTGTACGCCTATAAAGCGCTGTAATTGTATAGTTTTCGATCTTATGCTTCCTCGTCGGCCGCATTCGAATCAAAGGCGCAGTCTTCAACGAGAAATAGCGAACGTCTTTCCCGCGTTATCGCGAAATCTTTCTGTATGGATCTTCTACTGCGCGCGTGTATATCAGTCACAATTAGTCATGATTTATCGGGCAGCTGGATTTCACCAACAAAAGATATTCGGCGTTCGCGCGGGATGACCGATTGACCACACCGAGGCAATTAGTCAACGTCACGATTCCGATAACGACTTAGCATTCAATAAACTCGCATCTGGCATCGAAACAAAGGAAATCGACGGGATTTAGGGTAAAAGAAACGTGAGATTTATCGGCGGTTGTATTTAAATCGTGTAGGATCGGAAACTAATTGCCCGCCTCCCTCTTTCTCCATCACAAGGATTTCTCCTCGCCACTCACAAATTTTATCGCATTATTACACTCCGTGAAAGAACGTATTGTGTTTGTGAATATATGTAATTTTACTTATCAATAAAGAAATTACAAAGGTCCACTAGCGTCTCAGTAACTTCTGTATGGTGATAGCATGCGGGACAGACTGTCGATCGCGAATGCAGCTACCATTTCCGGTGTGTTATCGGTCGCATAAAAATGATTAATATTAATAATAATGATAGTGTAAAAGAAAAAGTATACAACTTTGACTGTCACGTGCTTGGAAATTAATCTTTATGCCGAGACGTTTAACCCTGAAACGCATGATATTTCGGAATATAATAAAACATTTTACAATTGCCAATTTATTATGTGCCACAAAACCATAGAAAGATTTTTTTAAATCCATCTGATGTCTTGTGTCGTTTTATTTGAAGAAAAGGGGCTGCCGCCAAATGGCCACAATATACGTAGGACATATAAACAAATCGCGAATTAATTATTGTGAAAAGTGAATCAGTTATTTTTGTTTAGACATAGTGCAACTTCACACTCTCCGTATGATGTATGTTTGAAGCCGCGGCATGTGAGTAATTTACACCTCATTTTTGTATCTTAAATTGTAGGGCAATGTCCAGTTTGATCTTACTATCTCTCTTGTGAACTGTCTATTTGTGGAGACACGCTCTATTTATTCAGTTATTTTGTTACTTTATGCTTTGATAATATATGTATATACATTCTAATACATCATGCAGTAGGTGTTTGTTACATGTGTCTGCTATATCAAAAAGTATAAGTTTGTTACGCAATGGCAACATTATGCATTTAAGGGATTAATCAAGTTAATACAGTTGAAACTCACTTCTCATGAAATATAAGTTTGTCTCTTGTAAAAAAGAATTTCATGATTTTATGATAAATCTTAGCGATAAAAGAACCGTTGGAAGTGTAACAAAAATACAACCTGACTTTTGGCCCACCCGGTATATACATTACATTAACGTTTGAAAGGGAAAGATTGTTAAAAAAGAATCCGCGTAAAAACAGAATTGAGTGTACTAAGAACGAATTCTGCAAAAATATCCGAAGTAATTTTCTGGAGTACTTAATAGTCTACAATTTAAATAAAATGTGCAATCGAAGTTGCCCAGTCAGCTAAACCTGCAAAAAGAAATTTTATCCAGTGCCTGTTACAATGTTACATACTCAACATGGCTACAAGTTTGATGCAAGATCTGCTATCAACAACTTGCACGGAGATTGGCAGCAGATTAGCAGCAAGTCTTGCAATATGGCCTAGGTCATAAATTGACCTACGTTAGTTAGCCTGGATTGTGTTGCAAGACTTGCTGCTAATTTGCTGCCAATTTGCTTTACCATTTTGTCAGCAGGCTTTGCCTGCAAAACCGAAGTCAAATGCAGAGACAGATGGCTATGGTTTTTTAGACAAATCCCAGATAGCACATAACACCTTAAAGACGCCCATTTTACGGCTATTTTAGATCTAAGGCGCCTTTAAGCCGTCTTCAAGGCGTCATGCGCTATCTGAGATGTAATTTTTGCTGGCAGTTTTCTCGAAACTTGTACACAACTGGTTATCAAGGTGACTTACTGACTCGACAGAAAAAATTGTTTACCACGAAATGAAACGTTGTACACAATTTCTTTGTATTTACATAATTTATCGATACCTCGGGATTACGCTGCATCCAAAGAAATGTGTTCATACAAAAAGTCGTGGATGATGAAATTAAGAAAACTCGCCTCCTTTGAGCATTAGATATCTCCGTTATATGTGCAGTATGATTAATTCATCTAACGCGGCTGCTTCTCTATCGTGTACTAGTCACAATCACGAAACTATAAATTGCTATTTGTCACTCGTTTCCGTCAGTCTGGCGAAATGCCATCGAACCGTCGCATTTGTGCTCATTTCATTTCTTTAACGATCACTGCGAACACCAAAGCCTGAAAAGCCTGAAACCTACGTTATGTACTTATCATACATATGTACATGTGTATGTATTGGTAAGTGCCTCTTCTGATATCGGTAATCAAATTGGTTACCGCCTCTAATTGATATGATTATCATTGCAATTAATAGTATTATCAAACATAAGCACGAGTATGCAAGTACTTGACAGATTGGTTTTATCTGGTCATTAAACCCGAATTGTTTTATTTATAAACATACGTTACTCGGCTCGTTTTACTATTCTCATTTGAATTTGATCGCAGTATTCGTCTTCTTTTATTATGTACGAAATGATCGATGTGCAACGTAATACAATCTGTAACTGTACTTTAAATGACTACGCGTAAGGTCGAAGGGTTTATTATTCAAAATTATGCGAACATCAATAATGTTTAATTCATAAATACCGCTTGTTATTTGTTAGTAAGATAATGATATCGATCTGAGACACAACATGGCGGCCACGACAGTCACGTAGGAAATGTCAAATCTAAAATAAAAACAGACATCTAATGCGGATTATGATGTACACAGCGGTCTTCGTACAAACAAGCATGATGTAGTGTAAAGTACCAGTTAGGAATCATTCAGAAGTGGTGTGTATGCTGCGTCATTGCTAACCTTATATTAACTAGCATCATGAACTTTAAAAGGTATTGATGTTAATTACAAGTTTTGATCGGATGTTTTTCACTGTTTTGTATGAATTTTGAGCCGTCTGTCAAACGTTAAACGACCGTATTTATGTTGCACTATATTACCAAATACTAATTACCATAAAAACTCCGGTTTCTGTGAAATTATGTGTAGCATAATATTCATGTTGCAGGTTCTGTACTTGTTCTTTGTTGTGGTATAATTAGTTGAAAAATTTACTGTTAAGCAGTAAAATAACAAATAGCTCAAATGTCTCTTAACCTTGAGTTTGATAGACCATTTGAAGACTGTGAGCCTCTGAAGTGGGGAGCATTACGAGAGTTATGTCATGCAAACACAGAATATTTTATGTCGCATCAAGATGAAAATGGTATTAGAATCAGAGCAGCACATTTGGCGATATTGGATCATTTAGAACAGTTGCAACCACTGTATGAAGATATTAGTATATTCGCACCAAAATTTGATTTTGATGATATAGTACCCGGCAATGGGTACAGAAGTTTTCTAGTCTTAATAGATAAATCTATCATACATTCTCGTGCAATCTGTCACCAAATATACTGTCAGAAGGATTCTATATTTTTTCGTAAAAGTAATCATATGAGGTAATTATTCTGCTTTAATACATTCTACAAACAACTGACATTAAATATTCATAGATTGATATGTACAAATGTTTGCAGAGAAATAGAGGCTTGTTCGCAATTATTAGCATCTTTGTGCACATGTTTAGAGCATTTACAAACTCTTTATTCATGGAGTGAAGAAACAACTGATGGAAAACCATCTCTTTTTATAGGAGATAATCATAATCCCTATGAGATTTTGAATAAAGCAAGTAATATTAATCAGTATTGTTTTTATGGCAGATGTTTGGGATTTCAGGTATTAAGAAATACAATTATATGCAATCTTTATGAATTCTTAATAGATTCTAATAAAGCAAATTGATTTCAGTTTTATGATTCTTTAAAGCCTGCCTTAAAAACTATATTGGTCTGTATGGCTACATTTAGCGAAGCATTCTATACTAATGGAACCTTGTTAGCACGATGTGCTAATTCTGTTAAATATATGTTAGACCCTGAGGCAAGGGCACGACGTATTGTGGATGTGTCTCAACGTGCTGATATATCATTTTGCCAAGCCTTTTGGTTTCTCAATGAGAATAGTAAGACAATTATGATCATGTATTTTGAATATAAATAGATTTAATCGTTAATTTCTACGTTTCATTAGAAGTTATTTGCTATTATGTTGATATAATATGAATTATATTCTTAGATATAGCACGCAGATTACCAGCTATAACATCCCCATCTTTGGCAATAAATCAAGTAATTTCTATTCCACCTGAAGAATTAACACTTCCTGCATTAGATGGGACAACAGTGTCAATTCCAATACCGCATAGTCACATTGGAAAGAAGCCAATTCATGTTAGGTTATTAAGCTTTAAACGTCGCTTGGGAATGGTAAACAGATAATTTATGGAATCTAATTACTTTGTAGAGTTAATACAAGTTGTATCTTTCCAATGCTTATTTTCGGTTCTATATTTCCCTTAATTAAGTAGAAATTTTTGCGAAACATCGGTTTCACTCCTGTACAGTACATGCTTCTCTCAGGTTGGTTCAGGTGGAGTAGCAGGAGAACTGCTTGGATTGTCTGACAAGCTGATAATTCATTGCCATGGTGGTGGTTTTGTAGCGCAGACGTCACTGTCTCACGAAACATACTTACGGTCATGGGCCATAGACCTTGACGTTCCAATTTTAAGCATAGATTACAGTTTAGCACCTGAAGCTCCATTTCCCAGAGCACTTGAGGAAGTGTTGTATACATATGCGTGGGCTTTAAACCATGCGAGCACTTTGCTTGGCAGTACAGTGCAAAAAATACTTCTTGTTGGTAAGCTGTGAAACATAGTTCTTGTGTTCTTCTCGTGTTATTTATAACTTACAGAATTGAACTGTTTTCCAGGTGATTCTGCTGGGGCCAACTTAAATTTAGGTGTTACTTTAAAATGTGTAGAATTGAATATTAGGAAACCAGATGGAATATTTATGGCGTACACTCCAGTGTTTGTAGATTTCGTGCTGTCACCATCGCGGTTGCTGTGTCTGACTGATCCCTTGTTACCTATGGGATTTCTTATACGTTGTTTAAAAGCGTATGCAGCATCGGAGAATAAGAAAGTAGCGAAGTAAGTTATATACAAACAAATCATTTTTATTATGTATTCGTAGGATTACTATTTGATATTTATGTTACATTTATTGGACTTTCAGGGAAAAAGAACATGATGTCGCAGATTGTGCAAAATCAGACACAGAATCTTTTGCGGAGGTCAGTGAAAGCGATTTAATAGCGTTAGCTCTCAGTCCGAATGGAGATGAGACGAATGATGCGCATAAGTTGGCATCCTTACCATCTGACACTACTTTAAATTCTGTTAGTTTAACAGAAGCTGATGGTAAACAGATAAAACGAAAATATATATATATATATACATATTCGTCTGCAAACTTGAACTTGAACTTAAATGATTCTAAATAACTTTTATTAAAATTCTTTAACATAATAGGACTCGAGCATCCGCAAGAGCAAGTAAAGTCTCAAGAATATATTAAAAGATTTTTGGACTTGTATCGAAATTCTGGTATAAATCCGGCCACATATATTGGAAATAGTGCTATCAGTACAGACAATAATATTCCTAGGAATGGCAAATCATGGTCATTCTTTGGATGGTCACTTAAAGGGAGGGAGCATAGAGAATCTAGAGAGCTCGATATAGAGAATGTGAAAAGTCTTTTGGATGAATTTGTCTTCACGGTGCCCAGGGATCCATTTTTAAGCCCTTATCTTGCACCAGATAATCTACTAGCACAATTACCGCCTATCGCAATGCTGGTAATTACCTAAATATTAAAATGTATCACAGACACAACATACGTAATATTGAATGTTTAAACTTTCTATTTAGACATTAGAGCTCGATCCGTGCCTCGATGATTCCGTCATGTTTGCAAGAAAACTTAGAAAGCTCGGTGTATTAGTCATGCTTGATATACTACCTGGTTTACCACACGGATTCCTTAATCTCACACGGGTAAAAATTTCATTTATATGAAATGAATGCATTTAATGTCAACAATATTTTATTGAAATGTTCAAATTCAATTTACAGGTCTCAAGAGAAGCTAGTATTGGATGTGACTTATGCATCAAAAGAATACAGGAGCTACTGGTACTATAATTATATGCATGAATATTCATTAAAGTGAAATGTTAAATGATATATGGGAACAAAGGTTTCTTTACTAGTTTTTTTAAAAATATTAATTATAATAATTTTTTACACAAAGAACTACATTACGTTGCAATATATAAGAGTCTTACGCGTCAGTACGGTCAGTAAATATATGAATGTAAAAAGTATATATTTGTTGCCTATTTATAGTGAATAATACAAGTGTTTATATCCTTGCAGCTATCAAATGATTAATATTTTAAAGAAAAGTGGACAAGGTTGATATTAATATAAATTATATTTGTTATTGATAATTTTATGTATTTTCAAAGTGTATTGTACTTTGTCAATTTTTTTAGGTTACTAGCAACGTCGATTGCGACAATTGCATCACAACATAGTCAATGATTTTACTTCTACTGTGGCTTTCCATTTGCTACAATTTTTTTGACTGTGATTATCGAAATTAGCATAAAACAATTTGACTTTATGTTTCTAATCTTTTGATTACAACCTATAAAGGCTATTATATTTATACATTCATCGTTTTCTATTCTCAATGAAGCTTTCACCTTTGTAAAAACTGGTAGTTTCGTAATAATGCTTCTTGTATTGTTCACTAAATTCTTTAATAACGTTTATACTGTTCATTTGCATTAACATCATCTCTGTTAACTTCATTTAGAAAAACTATTTATCATGAAATATTTTGAGCTTAATGACGCTAAAGGTGCAATACTATTTTAACATACCGCATATGTTGTATATTACAAATTTACATTTTATTTATTATATACACATTTAATATGCAATTTGAAAGTAAACGATTTAAAAGTATTGTACTTAATGTTAAATTGCTACTTACTACCTTTGAATTATATTTGTTGAATGTTCAATGTTGTAAGAAACTCATTTTAAATGTTCCTTTAATTTTGTATATAAGAAAAAGGAGGTAAGGGAATCAAACCTGTATTGTACTGTGTAACATTTTATTCAGTTCATGGATATAAGAATGTGGTAAATATAAGATACTCTTCAAATGAGGTCAATTTAACGAAATTATACAGAAAAATAGCAGCCAACATGAAGAGCATTAATGGCAAAATTATGTTTTCCTTGTTTTGAAGAAGTGTTAACAATTCATAGGGTTTATTAAGTTATATTTGTTTTTTACATGGAAGTACATCGTATTTGTTAACTTTATTAAATTATTTATAAAATTCTAATTTTATAACTTATAACACACTGTGAAATAGAATAAAAATTATTTTATTACCAGACTGTGAAAACATGTAGTTTATTTGGATGTCATAAATTAATGATTAACAATTTCTTACTGGTTGACTTGTTGAGTATTTGTTTGTTCTCTATTTATCGTAGGACGTAGTGTTTTTTGTAGTACATGTGCGTCTGCAGGTTCTATTCGTTTATAATAATGTTCTTTTGTCTCTACTATTTCAAATCCAAATTTCTTATAAAAATCAATTGCTCCTTCATTGCTTATTTGAACATGACTATAAATAAAGGACAGAATATAAAACTTGTTTTAATTAATATAAGACTATAGCAGTCTTGGACTTACAGAAAAATGGAATCGAAGTTTCCATCTTTATTGACATAGTTCAAAACATGTTGTACCATTACAGTACCGATTCCTAATCTTCTATAGGGATAAAGACATCCCAACGTCATAATATACAAACGCCTAGAATTTTCAGAAGTATCGACTCGACAACAAACTGCTCCAACCTAACATAAAAAGTATAATTAGTGAAATGTTTAAACAAAATTCCATTCTAAGGAATGTTGTTTAGACTTTTCAAAGGTTAAGTAACATACCACTATATCATTATAATATGCAAGTTTAGCTAATTCTCCAGCTTCTAATACATCTTTGTAAAACTTCTCATTATATGAAACTGGAAATACCACTTGATTAAGAAGCTTTAGCTGTTTTATATTGTGTGGGGTTACATCTCCTAACTCTATCTTTGATCTGTAATTTAAATATTTAAATTTCATTAAAGACTAAATGTGCATACTATATTCAGTTATATTAAAAATACTGCATATTCAACTATATTAAAAATACGAATGGTCTTTGACATTACGAATTTAATTTTTATATATTGTAACATAAACTTCGCAAATTTTATACTATATAGATCATGTTTAAATTATAGTGAAAAAGTCTTATACCACAAACTACTACAATTCAAAAGATAATTTCTATTCGTAAATTTTATTCAATAATTTGCTTCCCGGTACACAACTATGTACACGTTTTCAAGCAAACATGCCCTTGAAAGTGAAGATATTCAAAACATTAAAGTACTATCAATTCCTGGATAGAATAAATATAACAAAGATTATCGTACAGTACTAAAAATTAATCATTCAAAAATGAAACAAATAAAAATTGTATAGAATCATTCGGTATATGATATCAAAATATAACCTTACAACTTTTTAAAACTCACCTAGTCATATTAGGAAATACCAGAGTTTTCTAAAGGTTCTAAAATAAACGGTAGTAACAAATTTTTACACTAATAGCTTTACTATAAAAAATGTTAACACATAACGTTTTGCCGCCGATACACCTCAATTTTGTACCTTTATTCGTTTCGCACAGTTTCGCATTGAAATCTTATTATATAGTATAGTCAAGTATAGTAGGTTAAGTATGCTTGTTATTTCAAATTTTGATAGGTTTAAGAATACGGGACTGGTTTTCATTTGACAACAATATATCTATAATAATTACAATAAAACGAATATAACGCATTTGTGTAAAATAACAATGACTATTTCCATATTTATATACATTATTAAATTTCTTTTTGAAACCATTTTTTAGATGTGAAAAATTATGATTGAAAATAATAATTATATTTCATTCTTCAGTTCAATATATAGACATTAAACATCAGCTTAATAGATCATTTAATTCGTCAAGTTATATAGAATAATTCCAATTTTAAATAATTTAATTAGTAATAGTATCGCATATTATTATATTAATACGAATTAAATAAGCATTGAGCATTCTTCTTCCGACGTATTTTATTAATACAATTGCAATAGTTAGTACATAATATAAATTTTATCACGCAATATTAATTGACACAATAAGTTATGTCCCAATATCTGTGTTTGTTAGTAATTTAAATAAAAAAATTAATAGTATGAAAAGGAATATGATAATGGTGTGTAACATACATCTTGCTATCGATGTAAACACAATTTATAAATCCGCGATCAAAATATAATTTGTCCACCAAGAGGATAACTAGTGAAACTACGAATACTCTCTTAGAATACGGTATTCAATGTTTAATAGTAATGTCAAATTCAAATCTAGTGTCATAGATACCGGAAAATAATTGGCGCTGAATGTTTACGTATCTTAACGATTTATATCTCAAAAAGTTGCTCCAAATATGCTCTTTCCGAATCTGAAATTGCTCCCCCAACGCCATTAATAGTTAATGAGATATTCGCAAAAGAAAAAGTAACAATTTGTTGTTAACAAAATACGTAGTAAATGACCTTTCTACGCAAATATTATGGTACCAAAAAATTGCTCCTGATCTGTTTTATAATAATCAATAGTCAGATATCTCAATAACTTTGCTTGCGAGGGTACATCTCACGCACACGGGGTCCCTGGCGCCTCCTGCGGGGATTCTATGACCCCTTGAACTTACCAGACGGGGTCTCTGGCGCTCCCTCCGGGGGTTCTATGACCCCACACTCTCACAGAGGGGGTCTCTGGCGTTACAACAGGGGGTTCTATGACTCCACGCTCTTATCAGACGAGGTCTCTGGCGCCTCATGTGGGGGTTCTGTGACCCCGCGATCTCACCCACGGGGGTCACTGACGCCTCCACCGGGGGGTTCTATGACCCCCACTGTCTCACCCACGGAGTCCCTGACGCCTCCACCGGGGGGTTCTATGACCCCACTCTCTCAACACACGGGGTCTCTAGCGTCTCCACCGGGGCTTCTGTGACCCCACGATCTCACCACACGGGGTCGATGATTGGGACCTATTGATTTTTTTTCGCGTACAAAAAAGTTATTGCGTTTAATATTGTTTTTATGAACATGTATATGTATTATTATGTACATTTGAGTAAATTATTTTATTATTCCATTGTTATTACAGCAGTTTAACAGTAACAACGAACGCATATATATTTTCAAATATCGGACTAATAGTATATTTTTATTCTATATTATTACATATAAGTGAGTAATATGTATCAAAAACGTAATCGAAACACAGATTTTTATTACACCACAAACATCGCATAAAAGATATTTCGTTATATTGACATTTATAATAATTATGGATGTTGCGGGGAAATCAATATTATTGACATTATGGAACATGTAACGAAATATCACTGTAACACTTAAAAAAGTTTTAAAGTTCCATTTATATCATTGTCCTGTGAAAATGTTCATACTTCCAGCAGCATTCATATTCCAATCAAAGAATTTACAGAATAAGGAAAAGGAATCTAAAGTAATTTTCAGTAGTTCCATACATCTTTATCTCGAATAATTTTCTAAAACATTCAAAGTACTAGACATTTTTACACTTTGAATCTCATATCGATTTCTAAAATAATCCTAATTCGATGTAATATAGAACGTAGTTTCATGAGATATATTCGAAGTTCGCAGCCATTGGCTCGATATTGTCTTCAGTTTACAGTATTTTACCGATGACAATACCGATTGCCCAGGCCTCACCACGAGGAGGTTGCTGCGAGTGGAGGCCCAAGGCAGATAGATGGAATCACAAGTTCTACATCTACCCACCTTTCACAATAAACCTTATAAATAACTTAAATATTAACTATCTAATACTATCGGTACTAAAATCCCTCGGCGGATGACTTCTTTCTTGCGCCTAAACCTATAAAAAACTAAGTTCCCTCGTAGGTTGTCTTCGTTCTTCAGCTTAGAACTACGATTATCTTAATATTCTAATTAATACGAATTAATGCTATTAATACAAAATAACTTAAACTAAACGCAACCTAGTCGCTAATACTCAAACGAAAGAGATAGACGGAATGGAAAAAGTTCCATCGATCAGCAGTTATTAAGTCTACGATTAACTACGCGTTAAACTACAGTATGAACAAGTATCGCGAT